GGCGCGGAGGAGGGGGGGGGGGGGGGGGGGGGGGGGGGGGGGAGGCGAGGTGAATGTGAGAGGGTCGTACTTTACAATTCGTCTTTTTAACGACTCTGGATATCTTCTTTTTCTTGCCGAATAAAAAATTCACTCCTGTTTTTTCCGCCTGGACTGGACTTTAGGGGTGATGAGAAGAAGCCTACTTTGAAACAAACTGCTGCTCATATCTCCTTCCATCCTTTTTTTTTTTTTTTTAAATATAAAGTCTCCGTCATATGCTCTCTTCAGTTTTAGGCAAGGGCGCCAGACCTCCAGCTTCTGCAAATCTGCAAGTTCTGTTCAGTCATTTCTGACATTGTCTGACAGCTTTGGGAATAAGAGATCGATACCCGAGGAAAGGCATTCTTCTGGAATTCTAACGATCATTACATCGCGATCCTTATTAAAAAAACAAAAAAAATGCGATTCGGTTGGTTTCGGTTGGTTCGGTCCAGCTCGACGCTCTGGTACAGCTGGACCGGCGCTAATAGTGACTGATTATTGCCATTTGGTTTTTTATCAATGCAAGACTGGGTGTAGAAAGATGTCTGGCCACTTCTTTGAGAGGATCATTGCTATCAGAGATGGCATTTTGGTCCAGCACTTCGGTTTTCACCTCTAAAGTGCCCCGGAAAATCTTATTCATGTTTACCCTCTCCCTCTCTGTCACTTACTTGTTTTACAGCTTGTTGAGCTGCTACAACTCGCTGCAGTTCCCGCTGCAAGAGAACTACGTCTATCAAGGCAGGCTGGTGACGGAGGAGACAACTTCGGTGACATTGAGGGAGAAACTTTATTCCGCCTCCCAGGGCTTCGCCGTGTACACGGAGGCGCTGGGAACCGCCGCGTCCCCCGCCGCCGAGGACCATGCCGAGGAGGCAGAACAAAGGACGGCGGAGTGGACTAGGACGCAGGCGTCTCCGACCAGAGAGGCGTTTCACAGCACGGTGCTGAAGAAGGAGCGCCAGGAATCCAGCACCACGGAGAGCGAACTCGCCCTCATGAACTGCACGTCGGATTACGGAGTGAAGAAACTTCCCCAAGCCATCATTATCGGCGTGAAGAAAGGGGGGACCCGAGCCCTGCTGGAGGCGCTGAGGGTGCACCCGGATGTCAGAGCCGTTGGAAATGAGCCACATTTTTTTGACAGGAACTACGAGAAGGGGTTGGACTGGTACAGGTGAGTGTTTACGCCACTTGTTTACGCGCTCCTACGCCCCCCCCCCCCCCCCCCCCCTTTTTTACGCCATTCTGCCGTGTTTTACGCCCCTGTTCCCACTATCGGTGTATTTAGAAGTACACCGGACTTTATAATGTGATGTTTTCTCACAGTTGACGAATACAGGAACTTTATTGACCCAGTTTATAAATAGTAAATATCAGAATAATGCACACAGAACACAGAAAACCAAACTCCAATAAAGCGTTTTAAACCTATAAATGTGCAGTCAAGAGACAAGCAATTCAATATGACGATGAAAAAAACTGAATTTTTCATAGAACGTCCGTCCATCTTCGTCACATACTGTGGACTGGTCATATTTTATCACTAAGTTTAATGTGAAATCGGTAGTGTACAGTCACTATACAAGCAATGATGATATAGAATTTTTCATAGAAAGTCTGTCCATCTTCGTCACATACTGTGGACTGGACGTGAAGAAGGAGACTGCGTTAAATTTTCTTAAGTCGAAATAAATTGAGAACAAAAACAGGAACTCTATTATTTAACGTAAAAAGAAAACAAATGTGTTCTAGGGGCATATATTAATAGTCAAACCACGTGGCTAGGTGTTTTATGATTGGTTTTAGCGTTGTGTAACACACGTATGTATGTAGCTTATACAAATTTAATTAATTTAATATTTTTTTAACTTCGAGAAATATACAGATTGACCTATACTCAACCTGGTCGTATTGATGATTTAACATTTAAAATCAATCATAAAAGGATTCCTTTTAGAATTTTAAGTCTCTCTCTATATGTGTATAAACTTGTAAAAAAAAAAAAAAAAGAAGGAAAATCTCAAAGGCGAACCTAGGGTGCGCACTTTCTCATTTGCTGACAAATTTAAATGATATGGAAACTGTTTCTTCGCCCCAAGTCAGCATTACGGTAGGCGTGACCTTTGAACTTCTGTTGTTCTCTCCTGGTTCTTGGTTAACCCTGGTTCGGGTTCCCTGCCTCACTCTTTTCTCCTGCTGCTCCTCTGTTCTCTGTGGGGAGTGTGAATTGTTTGCACTCGTTTTTTTTGTTTGTTGTTTTTTTTAGGTGTGTTTGCGAGACCATCGACTTTCCCGACTTTTACCTGCAGCTTTATTATCCAGAAGAGAGCCTGTTTGTCATCGCTCTGTTTATGGAAAGAAAGAAAATCAATTAGAGGCTTCAGTCATGGTCAGCTGGTCACGGCCCCCGGTTTGGAGTCGCTCGCACATAATGATGTTTGACCGGAGGAATTCGAGACTTTTTTTTTTCCTTTTTAATGAAGTCAATGAGCTGGTGAGAATGAGTGACTGTCCGACTCGGGGTCCCTTCTGTTTCTGCGCCGACGCGGCCGTGTCGCGCCGGTGTTTTGGCGTTGCGGAGCATCTGCTTTCATCCTTGCTGCATAGACGCGGGAGACTCTTGGCTGTTAATTTAGCCCCGTGTTAATGCAAGCTGTTTCATTATGCTCATGCTGAAAGGCTCATTAGACAGAAATAACATGCATCCATAAATAATAGTAAGCACTGGTAAATAATAGTAGAGTCGACTCTAAGGGCTTTCACATTTGGCACTTGGCTCTGCGTTTGGTGGTTCAAATGAAAATATTTCTGTTCAGCTGTCATTGTTTTGTTTTGGTTTTTTTCCAGCTTGTTTTCATTGTCAACGTGAGACGTCAAGATGTGTAAGGTTTAAAAATAACCTCCACGTCCGATTCCTGAAACTGATGAGAGAGAGATTCACTCGGAACTCATTTGTTTGTTTGTTTGTTTGTTTATAAATGATGCATCACATTGTGTCTTCATAACAGCGGTCTGTTCTGCTCCTGGCTAATGTACATTTAATGGTAGTGATACGTAGGCCCGGGACTTCGAGCAGCATCGTAGAATTCCCGATAAGTCACTTCCGATTTAACAGTCGGATGTGTCCGTGTTTTGAGTTTGTTTTTCTCTATGAAAGTTCATATGACATATTACATAGTTCTAATTGAGGGATTTCAATTGTAATTATTTGCTAAGTCAATTGAAGTTACTGTAACTGTCCTAGTCCTAGACCCGGGCGTCTTCACAGTCCAGCTCTGGTAGGACATAGACCTGGATTGCAGGGGTGTCTTTCTGATCTCTAACGATACAAAAGCCACACTGTGAGCCTCACGTTGACCCGCTGTTCAATGGTTGTTATTTCAAAACAATTTGATGACATTTTGGGAGTGACCTCCTGTCAGATCCAGCCTCTGGTTGATTTTCCTCAAATGCTTAGTTTTGAAACCGAAACCAGTTATTCACACCTGGAGAGTTCAAGGTGTGATGATTTTTCAGTCACTTTTTGCTTTTCCTTCCAATTTTTATTAGTGTTGCACAGGGTTCGGTTTTCAGGAATTTTCCCGAAAAACTGCACATGCACGTTGCTGTGGCACATTTATTCAATTCATAATTGATGTCTTAAATGTTGAATATATTCGTTATATATACAAAATTCTCTTACATTATTGATCGCGATGGCTCGATACGATACTCAGGATCGGTATCGCTCTGTTGTTGGTCACAGTTTCCCGGCCAAACATAAAAAAAAAAACTTTAGCCCGTCCGATCCGATACTTAAACTCAAATGCTCAACTTAACTTTGCGCCGCATGCTGTAAACCACGTGTCAAAGTGAAGGCCCGGGGGCCAAATGTGGCCCGTCAAGTTATTTTGTAGGGCCCGCGGATGCTTAAAAAGCCTTGTTATAAATTCCATGAAGTTTTTATTATGCAGAGCAGTGGTTCTCCAACTTTTTCTATTCGAACGAACCACAGTTTGCGAACCACATGAAAAATGTGAATCCCTAATTATTAACTGTGGCTTTAACTTTTTGTTACATGGAGTTGGGGTCTGTTTTCAAGAACAGAGTTTGTATTCACATCAGGGCCCCTCGTTGAATGTGACTCCGACAAAAGTGTGGAGACGGGGCCAGATGGGTGATTGGTGCTTCTCCCCTTTTTAAGTGTCCCTCGGACACTTTCTCCAGTGTTTTCGTGCATACTCGAGCAGGCAATTAGAAATGTAGTGTCATCATTATCATACACACAGGACCTCCGTCGGCCAATTGGCACTTCTAACGTTGCCTCCGTTTCCGAGTAAAGAGGATGAGCCTCAGCCACGAGGATTTAACTTGTCTCAATCTCTCCGTCCAGAGATTAGGAAATGTGATGCATCGTGAGCGGAACAGTTTACCACAGCTCCACAAAAGTGTTGTTGTACTCAACAGAAGGGATGAGTCGCGCCAGAGAAAGTTTGTATTGTAGGTCATACATGAATATTTATCGCGGTCGGAGGAGCGTCCTCAGCAGATATTTAGTCCTAAGTTTTGGAGAGTGGCCAGACAAGAGCTCACTTGTGAGGTCGACAGCTCGATATTGCTTCGACAATGTCACAAAAAATATTTGAGGAAATTCCACCTTTTATCAAAGAAGTTGAATAAGTAAAAAATATTCAAGTTTTTTATTTTATTTTTACACTCCGATAAGTGGTAGTCAAGTATTTAATGACCTTGGAGCCACTTTTTGATCCCACACTGAAATTCTCGTGTTAACAGCAGATCTGCTGCAACAGGCGCTAGTTGTGTTGTTCCTCTGGGAATCAAACCCCCGACTACTTGCTCTCTGCAGGCGTGCTAACCTAGAACCTCAACTAGGCTGTTATTTCTTTTTGATTTTTCTGAGGGTGAAGATTAACAGTTAAAAATAACACACACTCTCTATACGCTGCATATAAGATCAATTCTTGGATACGAAGGTGTGACAGGAGCCAATAACACAGCAGAGAGGTTAATAATTCAGTCTGTTCAGGCTCAATTAAATTCTCCTCTGCTCTGACTGGGCGAAGTGGACGGCCGACAAAAGTTGGACCTGTCCATTTTGAATGGGTTTCTTCACACAAAAGCAGGGATAAAGCCGTCCTGTCAAACAGAATGGAATGTCGTCAGTCATTCTGGAAGGTTAACATGACTGGAGTGAGACTAAAATCTTGCCTGAACTACATTTTAAAAAAGGCTAAGTTACAGGATTGTTGCACTTTTAAGATGACATTTAGTACCAGGTTGTGAAAAAAAAACAGGGATGTCCGATATTAGCTTTTTGTCAATATTGTCCGAACACGTAATTTCCGTTTCCGATACCAACCAATACACGCAGCCATTTTCTCCCCAGAACTATTTTTAGGTCACATCACAAATCTCCCGCCATGGAATTAACACATGTGATATCCCACTAAAGGCATTCCACAAATTAGCATTCTGTACCGAATATTTTTTTAAAGGAATAAACGCAAAACCCAAGCATTTCGTATTGGGGTTTTTATTATCGGAAGAAAAACCAATATTCTTACTGATATTACATAATTACGCTAATATCGTGACGATAATATCACTTGGCCGATATTATAGGACATTTCAAGTGAAATTTGGGCAACTTCCTGTGTCATAAAGTCAAAATCCAAGCTCAGTTGGTCTTATTACCATGGAAACAAGTGGGTCTGAATTGTAACAGTCTTTTTTGTCAGTTGTTGTATGTTCTGTTGTCATTTAACCCTAGGGCAGTATTCTACAACCTTGGGGTCGCGGCCCCATGTGGGGTCACTTGGAATTGAAATTGGGTCGCCTGAAGTGTCTAATAATTGATTTAAAAAAAAATTCCTGGATAAAATGTTTTTCCAACTAATTATTATTATTTTTTAAATTACGATGAAGAACACATTATGAACAACCCGAAACAATCACGTGACTGCACAAGTGACAGCTACTCGATTTCACATGAGGAAAAAAAATGTCTCTGGGGTCGCTAGATATTTGTGTTGTCAAGATGGGGGTTGGGTTGGGAAGCACAAACCAAGGGAACGTCACCGAAAACCTCATATGAAAATTGAACATGTGGCCCAGATATAGAGGGCAAACCAACCTATAAATGTGTTAGCCAACTTTTATTACATGGTGCGGAGG